TGCGTGCGTGCGTGCGTGCGTGCGTGCGTGCGTGCGTGCGTGCGTGCGTGCGTGCGTATGTATGTATGTATGTATGTATGTATGTATGTATGTATGTATGTATGTATGTATGTATGTATGTATGTATGTATGTATGTATGTATGTATGTATGTATGTATGTATGTATGTATGTATGTATGTATGTATGTATGTATGTATGTATGTATGTATGTATGTATGTATGTATGTATGTATGTATGTATGTATGTATGTATGTATGTATGTATGTATGTATGTATGTATGTATGTATGTATGTATGTATGTATGTATGTATGTATGTATGTATGTATGTATGTATGTATGTATGTATGTATGTATGTATGTATGTATGTATGTATGTATGTATGTATGTATGTAATAGAGAAGTGTAGAGAATTTAATGTAAATCTGTTCTTATGTTTTGTGGATTATTCAAAAGCATTTGACTGTGTACAACATCAGAAGCTTTGGGAAATCATGAGGAATATGGGCTTTCCATCACATATAGTGCAGCTCATTAAAATGCTCTATCAAGACCAACAAGCAGCAGTCAGAATAGATGGAGAGACATCAGACTGGTTTGGCATCAAGCAAGGAGTCCGTCAGGGATGTGTGCTGTCACTGTATTTGTTCAACCTGTACGCCGAAAATATAATGAGAAATGTAAGAGATGATATAAACAAGGAACAATATGATGCCCTAAACATCGGTGGTCATGAAATACCAGAAATTCGTTATGCTGATGATACAGTATTACTATCAACATCACAAAATGGTTTAGAAAACTTATTAACCTCACTCCAAAGAAATAGTGAAAATCATAACTTATTTCTTAACACAGCAAAAACAAAGATAATGCATACAAACAAAACTGCCATGGAGAAGGAAATATATGTTAATGAGGAAAGATTGGAAGTGGTGGAAAATTTCGAATATCTTGGGTCACTGGTTACCAACAATGGTGACACAATGAAAGAAATTAAACGGCGACTATCAATTGCTCTTCAAAGACTAAAACAACTGAATAAATTATGGAATTGTACAGATAGAATTACAAAGGTCAGATTTTTAAGAGCATGCATCTTTCCCATTGCAACATACGCCTGTGAGACCTGGACACTTACTAAACAAGCGGAACAGCGCATAAATGCATTTGAATATAAATGTTACAGACAGGTTCTAAGAATATCTTGGGTAAAGAAAAGAACAAATGCATCCATACTTCAAGAGCTGAATATTGAAGAGGGTTGGCTAGTAAAGACAATAAAAACAAAGAAAATTGAAATATTTTGGTCACTTGAAACGTCATGGAGGTCTAGAGAGAACAATAATGGAGGGGTATATGCCTGGGAAGAGAGGAAGAGGAAGGCCAAGGAGAAGATGGGTGCAGGATGTGGCAGATGATCTCCAGATGGGTGTATCAGACGCAGGACATCTTGCTCATGATAGGAAGGTTTTCCGGAGGGTTGTTATGGCAGCGAGGTTCCGCGAGGGACATGCTACTGAATGAATGAATGTATGTATGTATGTATGTATGTATGTATGTATGTATGTATGTATGTATGTATGTATGTATGTATGTATGTATGTATGTATGTATGTATGTATGTATGTATGTATGTATGTATGTATGTATGTATGTATGTATGTATGTATGTATGTATGTATGTATGTATGTATGTATGTATGTATGTATGTATGTATGTATGTATGTATGTATGTATGTATGTATGTATGTATGTATGTATGTATGTATGTATGTATGTATGTATGTATGTATGTATGTATGTATGTATGTATGTATGTATGTATGTATGTATGTATGTATGTATGTATGTATGTATGTATGTATGTATGTATGTATGTATGTATGTATGTATGTATGTATGTATGTATGTATGTATGTATGTATGTATGTATGTATGTATGTATGTATGTATGTATGTATGTATGTATGTATGTATGTATGTATGTATGTATGTATGTATGTATGTATGTATGTATGTATGTATGTATGTATGTATGTATGTATGTATGTATGTATGTATGTATGTATGTATGTATGTATGTATGTATGTATGTATGTATGTATGTATGTATGTATGTATGTATGTATGTATGTATGTATGTATGTATGTATGTATGTATGTATGTATGTATGTATGTATGTATGTATGTATGTATGTATGTATGTATGTATGTATGTATGTATGTATGTATGTATGTATGTATGTATGTATGTATGTATGTATGTATGTATGTATGTATGTATGTATGTATGTATGTATGTATGTATGTATGTATGTATGTATGTATGTATGTATGTATGTATGTATGTATGTATGTATGTATGTATGTATGTATGTATGTATGTATGTATGTATGTATGTATGTATGTATGTATGTATGTATGTATGTATGTATGTATGTATGTATGTATGTATGTATGTATGTGTGTATGTATGTGTGTGTGTATGTAATATGTAATGTCGCATTAGTCTGGTGATTCTGAGATTTTTCAATCGTCGCAATGGTAACAAAATGGAAACCTCTTGGACGGAAAATATATTGTTTTATCACATAGGGACTAACATGCACATACGCTTTTATAATATATACATACCTACGTATGTATGTATGCTTGTGTTGTGTATATTTTATGTAGGTATGTATAAATTATCAAAGGTTGTGTGCATTTGAGTCACTATGTGATAAAATGTGTGATCCGTCTATAAGGATTCTTTATATTGCCATTGGAGCGCGTAAAATAATCAAAAAAAGTCACCAAAATAATATGACATTTACAGGCGAATGTGATAATTTCAGTACAGCAAATAATTGTTTGATGACTGGTGCTTTTTTTCCCCCTGTATAATTACTGTTTTATAATAAATTGAATATGATCCTTAGAATAAGAAGTTGTGGTGGGGATAGTAAAAGACGAGGAAAAGAGCAGGAGAAAAGTGATTAAAAAAATGAGGGGAGGGCAGTTCTGAGAAGAACGCGAGAGAGACAAAACAAAAAGAAGGAGAAGAAGAAGAAGAAGAAGAAGAAGAAGAAGAAGAAGAAGAAGAAGAAGAAGAAGAAGAAGAAGAGAAGAAGAAGAAGAAGAAGAAGAAGAAGAAGAAGAAGAAGAAGAAGAAGAAGAAGAAGAAGAAGAAGAAGAAGAAGAAGAAGAAGAAGAAGAAGAAGAAGAAGAAGAAGAAGAAGAAGAAGAAGAAGAAGAAGAAGAAGAAGAAGAAGAAGAAGAGAAGAAGAAGAAGAAGAAGAAGAAGAAGAAGAAGAAGAAGAAGAAGAAGAAGAAGAAGAAGAAGAAGAAGAAGAAGAAGAAGAAGAAGAAGAAGAAGAAGAAGAAGAAGAAGAAGAAGAAGAAGAAGAAGAAGAAGAAAAAAAAAAAAAGAAGAAGAAGAAGAAGAAGAAGAAGAAGAAGAAGAAGAAGAAGAAGAAGAAGATTAAGAAGAAGAAGAAGAAGAAGAAGAAGAAGAAGAAGAAGAAGAAGAAGAAGAAGAAGATGCAGCAGCAGCCAGCAGCAGCCGGAGAAGTAGGAGGAAGAGTCGAAGTAACTTGCTTCTGAGACAGCCATCCACCCGGAATCTGTGTCATCAAATAACCCCAGAAAAAGGAATTAATCACAGAAGACTGAGTTTTCTTGTCCCACGAGTGCATCGGACCAGAAATCTGTAGAAAATTAGATATATTTGTGTGCATATTGTGTGTGTGTATATGCGCGTATATATATATATATATATATATATATATATATATATATATATATATAAAATCAAGAAAAGTCGGCTATAAATTGTGACATTTTTGAAGAAGGCATGAAAAAACTTAAAAGTTAAAATTTAAATGTCTTTCCTCGCCACTGTCGAAACTATTTTTTTCCTTATTTCACACTCAAAGTGCATCATATTACATAAAATGCCAGCCGCAGCGTGCTAAAAATGGTCTTTGTATTTATCTCGATGTGCGATCGATCCTCCATCTGTAAGTAAGGCGGTGATT